GATTTAACGCCGTGTAGTCCAGCGTAATTCGACTGCCGTTTCGGTAGAACATACCATCTCCATCTTGAGGGTTTAAGAGTAAGTCTATCTATAAATCAGCAAATATTAGAGCTCTGCTTGCTGCTTGCTTCATACGGATTCCTTGCTTAGTTTACTCTAAGGTCCTGAAGATGGAGACGACTTGTCCCTCGGAAACGTAGGTTGACTTTCACCGGTGTACACGGCACTATATCCCAGAAGGCAGAACTCTTCCCAACAATCGCTGGGAGAACACTGAATCCAGCAAGAGATTCTTATTTTCCCATACAGATCTGTTTCCTTTGCATTCCTGGGCTGTATGAAGTTTTAGGTAATGTTGTATTGCATGAAATATCCGCCTCTGAGGTCTAGTGGCCAGAGTTCCTGCCTACAGATCCAGAGTTCCGAGTTCGATTCCCGGCGTTACCAGTTCTTCTGAGAAACAGTGCCTCTGGAACTGGGTCCACTCAGTCTTGTGAGAATAATCGAGGAGCTATTTCCAGGAAATAGCGGCTCCGGTCTAGAAAACAGAAATAAGCGGTCCTGGGGATTCGTTGCACTGATCACGCGACACTCTTTATCCGCTAAAGTTGGAACTCACTGCACCGACAAACGGCGATCGCTCGGTCGGTATAGTTCGCTTGTGGACTAAAACCACGGAGTTTGTCCTTTGTTTTGTATACTGCATGAACAAGAGAAATACTGTTTCATCAAGTGAGGTGTAAACAGATTATAAACTGAAAAATCTGGGAGTTTCATGGCGTAAGAACACAGTCTTTAGGCGTATCCTGATCTGTACTTCGCTAAATAAAAATCGGCTCCCTCAGTCTTCAGGGTAATCTCTCCTACCTTCTTCATCTGCCTTCAAAGAAACTATTTCCTCCCCCAAAAATCTCTAGACATTTTTGTGTTTTCATTATCTGAAATCCTAGACGTCTTCCTGGCCCACATTAACGTTCTTGATTTCACTACCCCTGGGAGTTAGGCACGCCGTTCACATTGCCTGCGCGGTCTAAGGCATGAACTGTCTTAGCCTGCTCGAATACTGGGATCGTGGGTTCGAATCCCACTCGAGGCATGGATGTCTGTGTGCGTTTAATTTATTCTATGTGTGTCGTTCTGTGTGTCGGTAAGTTTTCTGGAATGTGACACCATGCAGTAGGGAAACGCGGCGGCGATGATTGGAGGTGCTTGGAAATTACATTAAACTTCCGGGCTACAGAGCCAGAAATTTAAATTCATTGAATGTTTAGAAAATACTAAGTATCAAACTTTTACTTGTCTTTGATAAAATTAACCAGACAAGCTGGTTTTGAAGCTGATCTCAAATGGCAGTACAAATTTGTAATACTGAGTTTTGTTAACTTCTTTCTGTGTGTCTGTGCGCAAGACACAAGAAAATATACAAAATTAATATCAATTAGAACTAATGGCCTTAATTTAATTATAATGAAATATTCGTTAATGAAATCTTATAAGGAGCCGGGATAGCGCAGTCAGTACAGCGACTGGCTACGGCTTTACGTGAGAAGCCGGGATAGCGCAATCAGTATAGCGACTGGCTACGGGCGGGACGTGAGGAGCCGGGATAGCGCAGTCGGTATAGCGACTGGGTACAGGCTGGACGTGAGGGGCCGGGATAGCGCAGTCGGTATACCGACTGGGTACAGGCTGGACGTGAGGAGCCGGGATAGCGCAGTCAGTACAGCGACTGGCTACGGCTTGAGGTGAGGAGCCGGGATAGCGCAGTCAGTATAGGGACTGGCTAGGGCTGGACGTGAGGAGCCAGTATAGCGTAGTCGGAATAGCGACTGGCTAGGGCTGGACGTGAGGAGCCAGTATAGCGTAGTCGGAATAGCGACTGGCTAGGGCTGGACGTGAGGAGCCGGTATAGCGTAGTCGGAATAGCGACTGGCTAGGGCTGGACGTGAGGAGCCGGTATAGCGTAGTCGGTATAGCGACTGGCTAGGGCTGGACGTGAG